GACTCCTTGGCGCTAAAATATCGCCTGCGCCTCGGCCGTTTCTTTGAATAGCGGCTCTGGGCACAAATGCAGAAGTAAATGTGTTGCAACTAGACATCGAGCTGGGGCAACCTGGCGAGCTGGGAGGCTGGGTAAAATGTGTGTGGCAAATCACACACCACATAATTTGCCGCTGCATTGCGCACACCAATTTAAACACACACACAAACTTACAAACAGAGTCTGCTGCTGTGGAATTAGTGAAGCAGCTGCCTCTGCATCTGCTCCTTGCCCCTACTACTCCTGCTGCTGCTGCGTTGCTGGCGTCCCCGACCGCATTACGTATGCATGACGTTGGCGCTGGCGTTTGCTCCAAAACTCCAAGCCGATGCCGACCAGCGCGTCGATGGTGTAAATGCCTGAAAGGAATGAAAAACGTGGCGCCCCAGCAGCAGCACCAGACATATAAGGGAATGGGAAGGACATACCATTTCTCTCTTACTCGTTTCCATTCTTTGTCTCTGCCCCTTTTTGGCCGGTTCAATGCTGATTACGATCGCTGCTTTGGCCACTGGTCTGGATGGTGCGAAAGAGCTGTAGCATTTGACTTCTTTTTGTGTCCCACGTTGATAATTCGAAATTTGTATTCCAATCTTCAAATTGTCTCCAAAATGGAATTGATTTTATGCAGATGAGCATGAAATTGTCTCTATGCGAATTTACCATGTTAGTGTAAATAAATGCTGCACAGTCGGTGAACTAGCACGTGACACGCCCCCTATTCCACAGCCACATCGAGTAGATTGAATGCAAAGGGTGCGTAGCTGTGACTCTTCCAATTTAACTTTAAGTCATGCCGCATCGATTTCTAGCCACCAATTTATTACTTAATTCTTGGGCTGCAGTTAGCAGTTGGCCAGAAAATCAAATCAATTCAAATAATAGAATGCAGCCGCAGCGCCAAACTTATAAAATGCTCAAGGAAATCCATTTTAAATATTTGGCTATGCAAACAGCAAAACGCCCACTCCTCCACAGGACCCTCCTCAACCACTTCAAAGAATGAGCGCGCGCTGTATTTCATTTGAATTTACAACTGTATTTGATCTGATCGATGTAACTGCAACCACTCCCACACAGCCCATCGGCAAGGCAAGCCAATAAAATACTCGCAGAGAAAGAAAAAAATGAGAAATGAGCAAATCGCATAAAAATTCGCTGGCGAATTTGTAAAAATTCATACAAGAGAAAAATGCTGCCCATTCAAAGGGCCAATATGCAAACAGGGCCACAAAAAATATATTTCACAGATATCTAACATGATGGCAACGACAATACTCATGATGATGTCGATGACAATAATGACGATGATGATGATGATATTGCTGGGTACGACATGATGTTGCAGACTAAGCTGGATGCTGATTGAACGCTGATACATGTCTGGGCCAGAGCAATAACAAAATTGGCTAAAGGAAATTTAAGGACAACCGCAATTCATTGACTCTGTGATGGATTTTGACTGCCCCTCGACACTTCTCCAACTGAATGCGCGATATTATCGGTTTACATTTGTTTGCATTGCTGAGTAATTTGTGTTTACTGTGGATGTGTTTAGCATGCAGCGCCTCTCCACTCTAATACAAAATATCACATACGAGCTGCAAATTATATAGAGAGAGTCGTTATGTGAGTGCGATGAAGGGTCGATAAAGTGCTTTAAATGGCCAGGAAATTGCAAATTGCTGGTTTAGTTGACTCAAGCGGGCTATTGATATGTTTCGTATTTATTCATTGCATTTGAGAATTTGTAATGATAGTTTAGCTTCTCTAAATAAATATTGGCTCTGGCGATAAGAGCCCGTCCTTAAGAGTTACAAATGAGTAATACATACTCATTTGTAACTCTTAAGGACGGGCCAAAATATGTAGTATGGATATGTGTGTTTGTGGGCATTTGTAGCCTAGTTGCCACTGCCTTGGCAATTTATTGTTTATGCAATCAGGCGTTCGGTGCTTGTGTTATATTTCACAGCATTTCGATAACTTTCCTGGTGTGCCCATTCCCTCTGAAGCTCTGCCATTGCATTTTACTTTCGTTGTGTCATGCCGCAAAAATCTCATGCATAAGTTTTCATCTTATTTATTCGAGCAAACTCGACCTAAGCTCGATGCAGCAGCATCAGCATCAGCATCAGCTCGATCTCGAATTTCTCTATAAATCATCTATGCAATTTTAATTCAAACACAAAAGAATTTCCGCCACACATGCCGCACAATACATAAACCCACAAAGATACGCAGACACACGCACACACACACACACAGGCTGAGTGGGGGGCATTGTTAGCATAAACCAATTGTAAAAGCCAAAATAGCGACAACCTCCCAACTAATGCGCTCAACGCGCCCCAAAGATACACTGAAGAGACTAAAACTGAGACTGTGGCATGAGTAGTTGCCCCCACGAGAGTGCGGGCCAAAAGCTACTCGAGGCACCAGGCCAAAGGCTTGGGAATAGAGCCAAAATATGTAGTATAAATAACCGCATTTGGGTATGTGTGTATGTGTGTGTGTGAGAAATATTTTGTTTAACGTTTATAGTTTTATGCACTTAAGATACAAAAATATTTTTTTGGAAATTTATTTTCGAGCTGCAGCCAGAAACAGAGGCAACAGCAGAGCCGAAGCCAAAGCCAAAGCCAAAGTAAAAGCAAACGCAAAACTTTTGCCAATATTTGTAAAAAAGATATTGATTGGCCTGAGCTGCATGCCCAGACACACAAACACACACACATACACGCACGCACAGACAGATGCACAGGTCCTGCTTATGCACATAAATTCATCCTTTCAATAAGACATGCAGGTTGGCTGGTATGCGTTGCGTTAGCTCGTTGCCACCCAACATCACTGCTCAATTCTTCGTGCAAACAGAGTGTATGAGTGTGCAAACGCCCTCAACACGTAGCCCATGCCCCACAATGCACCATCGTGCACCACTCCACTTGACTGCTGCATAAGTAAACGTCAGCGGATAAATTGCCACAGTTGTTGCCGCACACTCATAGACGTAGTCAAATTTTTTGAGCTGAGTTTTTCGTGCATGATAACAACTATGGCAACAGTTTGAGAGCCATTGAAGCGAAGTGGCAACCCAAGCAGCATACACACATGCATGAGACAGATATACATATTTTACTTTTACTTACATATATATATACGTATCAGCTGACGCCACATTTGGATTTATTTCTCGAGCCCTGCCAAAGGTTATGTTTGTTTTATGTTAAATGTTCAAGCATATTATTGCAACACGATGCTCAAGCGAATGCTTACCGAAATTTGCTTATTTTTGATTCCTCTTATATATGGAAGGAGAACTCTAGCTTTGTTGTTGTTGCTTTTGTGTCTGCTGCATGTGAAAATATTCAAACAAAAATGCTATGAAAATATGAACTGATGCTTATCGATTGTGAAATATGATAAGTTGGTTGGGTGCCTCGGCAAACATGCAATGCCTGTTGTGTTCACACACAAGCAAAGAAACACACACACACACACACACAAAACATAGACACACACCCATACATATGCAATGCAGATATATGTCCCTCTCTGTTCTGCATACATTTAATTTGTTAGCACAATCGAAGCCCGGCTAGAGGGCGTCTGTATTATTTCATTATTTGTGTGCACTGCTGACGGACATATGCAGCTGTATGTGTATGTGTGTGCGTGTGCATATATTCATTTCGTGTACGTCTGTTTGTTTGCGTGCCAGGCAGACCACAGAGTGGGAGTTGAAAGGTAACCAGACTAGACCAGACCAGACCAGAGAATACCCAGCCCAAACCCAAAGCCGAGTGCAAGCCCAATCGCAATCCCTTACCCAATTACATGGCCCCGAGCAATTGCAGCCAAATTCCTTTGGTAGCTAATAAATATTAAAGTTTAATTAAATATGCTTTTTCCCCCAATATTTATGTGCGTATCGATTACGGGGCTCGGCCAGCGGTCCATTGGCCTGCACCAATGCAATTTCGCTGTTGGTCAGCGCCATAAATTGCAACCTTGAAGCTGGAAAGCTGAAACTGAAGCTAAAGCCGAGCCAAAGGCCATTAAAATACATTCTTTTTATTTTTTTGTCGGCCACTTTACATCGGCTGAAGTGTGGGCGGGGTTGGGGGTTGGGCTTGTGGGCCATGGGCTAACTAAAACTCATATTAAAAATTGACTTTTATCGTGATTTACAATCAAGTTGGCCTTTTTAAATGCCGCGGTCGACATGCGGGCTGCCAGCCCTTCCTTTCCCTAGTTGATGTTTGTTCGTGTTGGTGTTGCGGTTGAGCCAAGTATTACACAAACCCACACCCAACACTCTCACACACACCACACACTCATCAGTGGGTAGCGCAAAATATATCTTCGTAGCTTAAGCAAGACGGGCACACATATTTAAAGCTCTGCTCCTCCACTCCGCCGAACATAGACGGCCAACATCCGACACGTGGTCTAACACTTTCTGTGGCATTTTTGCAGCAGGAATCCTTTTAACTTGGCTAACGGCGCCACGCCCAGCGCATAAGCCGCATGCTGACGTTCTTAAGGAGCTGCTTTTATAATTCTCCTGCTCTTCTATCTCCAGTCGCCTATACAGAAATCCAATTCCCAACACTTTCTATTCGCACATGCACTTCTATTGGATTTCTTGGCAAAGGCCACATGACGTCGCCCAAGTCTTTGGCTTTCAGCTTTCCTCTTAATTTGCTGGGACTTTAAGCATCTATTATCCTATCTGGTAATTTTTCTGGGTCAGTTTTATCAGAATTTAGAGATAATTTAAAATTGCTTGAATATTTTAAGCTGAGTGACCCTTCCTAATTATTTGCACGAGCATTTAAGGGTTAGCTAATAAAATTAAGCAGCATCTCATCCAATTATAAATTAAAGCTTCTATAAATTGATTATATATGCATACATAAATAATTAAATTGTGCTCTTTCATCTGTCACTTACAGAGACTGCCGAGTTGTGCGCGATCCGCAGACACTGAAATCAAAGGGCTATGGATTCGTCAGCTTTGTCAAGAAATCGGTAAGCTAAAACAAAACTTGCTAAACTGCTTTGAATGAACTTCAAAAGATATCAAGCCCAGAAAACTTGACAGCAATTAGTTAAAATTGAATAAAACAGCAGCTCAGCACAAATAATTCAGCATTTAAAGGACCTTAGTTTGGCTATTAAGAAGTACGCTTCACTTTAAAACCAAACAATTTAAATTTGTATATTGGTAAAAGTATTGACAAAATGAAAAATTCTTTATATATCAGTCTTCGGTTTAACGTATCTTATAATATCCAGGTGGTGCTGAAACAAGCGGGAATATCATAATTGATCCACTTTAGTGGAGCAGGGGAAAATGCCGAAATCAGCGCCATTTGCGCACGAAAGAAAATAACTCCATAAGAGTCTCTGACATGCACGGGCTTCGACTTAATTTATTTGAAGATTTCCGGATGAAAATATTTAAGTATATACATCATGAATTTTGTAACGTATACATATTTATTGATATAGCCTATAAAAGGGGCTTAGGGCTTTCCATTTTTTTATAAATTTTGTTTGGTGATTTAAGACACTTTCCGCACAAATTAATCTAGAGAGAGATACGGTTACCCACGCAGCATTTAAAGTCCTTGCCACAGATGCAACAAGTCTCACGGTCCTTCTTTGAGAAAAACAAGAAAACGTTTACACGTATATATATATATATTATATATGCTCCAACCGCAAGTGATAAGGGTAGAAATAACTGATACACACGACGCTTACGTGTATGTGTTTGTTTGTTGTGATTGAATTTCATGTGCTTAATAGGTAGAAAATTCGACAAAGCTGAAAGTTGACGCCAAAGCTGAATGTGGTTAGGATCAAAGGCAGCAAAGCTCAGCTGTACGCGCTGTGTGGCAAGCAGTCAAGCAGAAAAAATGCGCAAGCTTAGCAAAAGACAGCCAGGCCAGTCAGACAAACGTTAAGAAAATCAAAATCAAAGCCAATGTCAAATCAATGCTCAAGTCGGCCAGGCGAATGACGTGAAATCCAAAGGCGCTACAAGTCAATTACGCAGCAAACGTTGAGAGTTATTAATGAAATTTTAAGGCTAATATTAATATTTTCATTAAGAGCACACAGATTAGATGCAAAATATACAGAGCGAGAGAGATATACATAATCCATGACGCTTAGACACCACCACATCCACACAGTCAGTGGCTGTCAGTCAAAAGCATAAGCCGAAGTCTAAGTCTAAGCTTTTTGGATAGAGTGTTTGTTGTTTCTTTTGCTGTTGTTGTATTAAAGTGAACATAAGCGCTCAGACAATGAGGCGTATACGCAATTTGGAATTGGTGCGCTTTCAAAATGCGGCTGCGACGTGTCAAATGCGTCGCTGGCACTAACTAGTTAAGTTTTTATGTTGCATCGATGCTCTGGGGGACGAGCGACAATTTTCGAACTTTCTCGATTAGTTTCGATGCCAACGCAGAAGCAAATGAAAGAAAAACAAACGCGTTCAAATGGCAAACTCAAATATTTCAAATTAAGTTTCTCGACATGAGTTTTGCACACAAACATTCGGTCACACACACACGCACACACACACAACCTTATGCACTCATATGCGCCGCCCTAAGCCGGTGCCCAACCCCCGGCCGTCGCTTGCAGCTGATTTAATGCAAATTTTATTTATGCGAAAAGTTTTATTAAATTTTTGTGCAAAGTTTATATATTTTCTGTGGTTTTGCGGAAATTGAAAAGTTATTTTTCGAATGGCTTACTGCAGACACATACACACACACAAACGCATCCACATGCGGGTTGTGTATTTGTGTGCATTTCGATTGCAACTGCAAACGGAAAAGGAAGAAACATTTTCTTCATTTTGCGCTTCCGCCTGCATATGAACATTTTGCCAATCCCAGAGCTTTGCATAATACATTGCTGAAGGAGCTTTCAAATATGAAGCGTAAATTGTTCGGCAACATGCTTTAAATAAACACCAGCTAACGCTGCCAACGCTGCAAAACGCTGACGATGTACACAAATTGCCATAATTTAATAACCATCAAGGCAGGGGAGCCGCACCAGATACAGCAGCAGCAGCAGCAGCAGCGGCGGCAGCGGCAGCGGCAGCCAAGGCAGGCTGTCCTGGCGCCTCCTGGCTGCGTGTCATTAGCATCATAAATCACAACAACATCAACAACAAACGCGTGTAGTTGAACAAAAAAAAAAGCAGCTCACGCAAACATTAAGCGCAATAAACATGCCGTTGCAGAAGAGACAAGAGCCGTAGCAGTAGGCAACTCCTGTGCGCCTGCTGCTGCTTGAAAATGCTAATGGCTGCCATCGTTGGCGGCATCAGTTATTGTCACACATAACATTAACATATTATTGCACACCAATACGACACTGCGAGAATGCGGCAAAAGCTACGTTTGAGCAACATCTCTATAACTTCTTAACGATTGTTGCTGCCGTGGATGTTGCTGTTGTCGCTGATATTGCTAGTATTGCTGCTTGCATCTTAAGTGGCCACTGTGCGGCTGCCATTGACTCAAAACTGATTACAGACAAAGTACAGAGCCGTGGCAAGTTAAGAGACTGCATTTAATCGTATTAGAGCTGCAAGTGGCAGTGGCACCTGCTGAGCAGTCTGCTGGCTGCTTTCGGTGTCTGCGTTCTGCGTTGCATAATGTGCTCAATTTAAAATCAAAATTTGACAATGTGTGCAGCGAACACGATATAATGCCGGCCCCATTCTGTCACAACCCATGTTTGCACTACGTCCTCCGTGGGTGTAGTCTTATTTCTTTCATCAACTCAGAAGCTTATGTTTGCATTCGTTGCTGTCATTGTCAGGGAGCACAATAACTGCGGTTAACCCGATGTTTTGGGTATGTTACCTATGTATTTTCAGAATTTTTTCAAACGTCAATCAAGTTTGCTATTTTGCCTCTCCAAGAGGTGTTTGCGAAAACACACACGCTAATACGTAAAAATTTATAAAATTTTAAATAAAGCAAGTGAGAGCTTTATAGCCGGGAGTGTTAGACTAGCAGATAACCTGAAGTTCGCGCGAAGCTACCTTTACAAATATTCTAGCTTCCTTCTTTGCAGACATTTACAAAACACACTGACACACATACGTACACATGCACATGACGCTTTGTCCGCACTGTGGACAATACAAAGCAGCAATGTTTATATAGGCTGATCGTGATGAACCCATAAATATTGTACCCAAATGTGTGTAAATGCTTAAGTTTAACGGTTCAGTTTTAAAAATAAGTTTTTCAGTTTTATTTTTAAGTGAAATATTTAAAATCTGTGAATATTATACCTACACATCAAATTTGGTGAATTGAGCTCTTATAATTGTTGAGTTACCGTGCATCAAAATCAATTTGTATTGATATATATATTTCAATGTAGTCTCTATCAGCAAACTTGCTGTACCTAAATACAAACAAACATACTTACGCACTGTGTATAAGATAATATTAAAATTAATAATTACCTATCAAAAACAAGATAGAAGCAGCCATTTCATATTCCGGGAACTCAAAACTAATACCAGAATAAAAAACTAATAACAAAATAAAAAGTTCGTGCAATTTGTTAGCTTAGAAAACTCAGAAAAGCAAACGCGCTTGAAGATAATTTCTCAGTATTTTTGAGACGCTCTTTAACGTTCGAACAAAAGCTAATTTTAAACAAAAGGCAAAATGTTCAAGTTGTATGTAATAAATTTGCTGGAGCGAATAAAACTTGGTTATAAATATAAATGGGCTGAACATTCATTTTATGTTTTCCATAATAATTCAGAAACAAGTGATTTGAAGCCTAAAACTGGCAACACACGCATAAGCCGACCCACTGGGCATGCCGAGTATATGGACACACAAGACCAACAGCAGCATTTCGACTGGCCCCGGGGCAGCAACTATAAAAAACAATTGAGAGGAGGATGGGAGACCGGATTGGAAAACAGAATCGAAATGAAAAGAAAACGCAAAAAAATGGCATACACAAATAAATCCTATGGAATTATGTCTTGACAAAAATGCGCTCTTGCGTGAAATACTGATTTTAGGGCCCACGCCCCCGCCAACGCCCACGCCCATGCCCTTCCATACTCACACCACTCCACCAAAAATGTTGTGATGTGTGACCGGCCAATGGTCAAAAATCGAAAACGTTTTTGGTCTAAACGAAATGAAAACAGTTTTCAGCCATCGACTAACTGCGCCAAGAGACGTTTCTGCGGGAGCTGCCTCACGCTGGCTTTACACATCAATATCTGTTTGATGCTTTAGAATGCGACGAATGGCACAGCATTTCAAGTGTGTAAACGATTTGCCACTTGAGTTATTCTCTGAATATCATGAAATCATCAGAAATGCCCAGAGAAATCATGCATTTGCCAGACGGATAGTTAGTCGAGACATTGTGGCTTTTGGAGCTCAGACTTTAAGATTCGACTTGGATAATGGTAGGCCTTAAAGACTCTTGCCTATCTAAATAGCCACGTTAATGAATCTGACCGAAGCACTAAGCAGAACTGGCTTAGAAGCTTGGCTGCCCAAACCTTTTAGCCTGAGACGATGTGCGGCCCGATTTAGGAGTGGAGGGAGTGAGACGAGCACTAAATACTTGTGCGTCTGGTTACCTTTATTAAAAGACAAAATGGTTGCTAGGAGAAAAAAGGACAACGCATTCCCATTTTCTTAGAGTGTATTTGTTTGGGGATTATCCCCCTTTTGTGTGTGTTGACTTTGCCTTTTTTCACCTTTTCGCTCGCTACAGTTTTTCCTTTTCCTGCTTAGCCCTTTTTTGTGTTTCTTTTTTTTTGCCTGCACCAGGCACAAACCATTTCCTTATTGTTTTAATAAACATTTAAAATGTCTTGCTCCCGACTTACGTTGTGTACACAAAATGTCAGCCCAACCATTTGTGGCAAATGGGATGGGGTAGGGGGGAGGCTTGGCTGTTGTTAGTAAACAGATGAAAAGTATGACAAAACCCTTTTAAACCACTTAAAAATTCTTCAACTTACTTTGCTTTTCTTTATTCGCTTAATGAAGGTATTTCGCCTTTTTGGTTCTGTTTCTGAGCTGCTCGGCAACAAAAACTTTTTAGTGACTTATACCGCTGCCGCAGCCCCGCAACCATCTTCCCACGGTCGGCAGTTCCATTTCCGTTTTTGAGGCCATGCGGGGGCATTAAAGGATTCTCTACGCTTATCAAGTAATCAATATTTACAAAGGCGTACAGCAAAAGTTGCACCAAAATGACTTATAACAAGTTGAACATCAAATTGAATTTAGAGAACATTTTCTTTAAATTTGGGCGCCCAGCGAGCCAAAAACTTTTGCCGCCATCTTTCGTGAAAATTAATTATCTTATCCGTAAGCGGAAGTTGTCGTCTCTATTAAATGAACTTTTACGCAGCAACTGGAATTCGGCATTTATGCAATTCTTTAAGTTAAGCACACGTTTTGCTTTATGTTTGAATTGCCATCCAGCAGGGCTCAGGGTTTGAGTAAAATTTAATTAATATACAGCTGCTTCACGTGGCGCTTAAAAGTCGGCTACGTTTTTGTCAGCATTCGATTAGGTTATTATTCCCTTGCCAGAGTAACATAAATATTTAACGAATATTGCTTGAAAAATAGTTTTACATAAGTTAACCATGTGCTTTCAATGGAAATAATTTGTGGATATTTGACTTCTGGTGGAATAAACATTTGCGTGGAAAAGATTTTTCGATTTAAATCTGCCAGGGTATTTAAACATAGACAGCACAAAGCTACCGCCTCTTGCGAGTTAATGTTCTTTGTGGCCATTGTTGCATAGGTTGTCACAACCACAGGCAGGAAAACGTGTCTGAAGTTTGTTCGCTATTAGCTGCAAATTTCCCGTACACAATTAATTAATTTCGCCTGCCCACAACAACAGCAAGAGCAACAGCAACTGATATCTTAACCAAACCAAGAAAATTTCTAACACTCAAGTGCCAATGCCAATGAGCCAAAAAGCCATGGCCAAAAACTGTCTACACCAAACCAAAACATTCTGTTTGTTCCGTTTGTTATTTGCCTCATGTTTTGCTCAGAAACTTTGCAATTAGTTTTCGACATTTTTTGAGGCAGTTGTTCTTGTCGTTGTGGATATACATTTTGCTGTTGTTGTTGCTGTTGTTGTCGGGTTATGCTTGGACCTGAAGTGAGAGTTTCATAAATAGTTTTGGCAAGTTGGAGCCAGGCGATCGGGTGTCATGTTGTGGTATTTAACAGACACTTGAGCTAGATGAATTGGCAAATTATTTAAAGGTTCTTGAACTGTGCACTGAAAATGCAAACTTATGACAGGCAATGAGGCGTTTTAAAGCGTATTTATGCGCATGATTTGCTCTTAAATACCATGCAAGCAAATACAGGACCATACTCTTAAGCTTTAATTCTTAAACAAGCCTCGAGAAAATGCACTTCACTTCCGTTTTGCAGTTCATGTTCACCAAATGTTTTCTAAGCAATTTACCACCAAAATGATTGATAAAGTTTTTGGCCAGACCCTTGAAGCGGCAACAACTATTTGGCCCACAGCAAAGGCAACTTTTGGCCAAAGTTCGCTCCGTCAGTGGCATTGCATTAGCCGTGGCCATCAGTTCGCTGCCAAAGTTGCAGCTAACAGCTAAGCTGACCGTTTGTTAAGACAATTTCCGTTGACACATGGAATTGCAATTGCAATTGGCAAAGAAACAGAAACAGTAACAGAAGCAGCAGCAACAACAACAAAGAGCTGCAACTGCATTTGTTACAGCGACTGCACTTGAAGCGCCTGTCAAATGAAACCAAGCCAAATGGGGAGCTACAGCAGCAGCAACAACAACTGGCAGCAGCAGCAGTAAATTAAATATTGCATGTGGCCGCTTAAAGCTGCAGGCGCCGCAGTGCCACGGCTGATAAATAAATGTAAAATATTTAAATAGCTTCTGATGCCCGGGGTCGAGGCGCTGCGGAGGGCTGTCGCATTGTTTGCTGGCCCGTCCGGGCCTGCTTGTCCTGGTTGTTGCAGCAGTGTCGCAATCAACGATGCGTATCGGTTAAAAAATGTAAAATTTATAGTTTATGCAAATATGAAAAATGCAACTGGCAATGCATAAAAATGCGCACGCACGCAAACTGCGTGACTTAACCAAGGCAAGCACACACCAACACACACACACACACACACACTCACTCAATTTAAATTATGGACAAAGTTGCGCGACAGTTGCTTGGTTTATCGCTGGGGGCAGCCACTCAATTGTTGACTTTTGTGCAAGCGGTTAAATTAAAGCGAACATATCAAAAAGAGCTTCAATTGGCTTTATACAGACTAAGAAATACTCTTACAAGTCTCAGCTAGTTGTAAATAAAACGACAATAAATCGAAGGTGCATCAAGTTAATATTCTGCTAGCAAGCTTGTGCCATCTCAGAGAGAGCATTCAATAGAACTACATTTTAATCTAATTAGCTATCTACCAACCACCAGACATCTAATGGAAATACACTTACTTTAACTACGCACTTCAAATACACTTTCTCCCGCTGCTGCTACTTGCTTTTAAGCATAATAGTTTCATTTCATTATATAGAGCATTCAGTAAGGTAACAGTTAAATATTTTTGACACTGATTTCAAGCTTTTCACGTAGTCCCCAAGTAAAAAGTAGAAAATGCTTAAGTGAACCTGCGGCGGTGGGTGTCTAGTTTCAGTCCATGTTGCACCACCGGCGCACGAAACGTTCGCCAAAAAATGCCAACAAACTCCGGCAATGTTGCTGGATTGCGCTCTGGACTTTTAGTGTGCCGCAACGAAAATTGCTCTGTAACACCCAAACGATATACACACACACACCCATACGGGTGTATGACTGCATGCAAGAGTTGCAGCTGCAATCATTTTTGTATGAATCACGTTTGATACGCACGAAATACCTTTTGGGTGAAATTGAAATTATAATTTGTGCATGCAGCGTCTGCTTGAAGAGTTGTGGCGAGAGTGGGGCAGCAGCTGGAGGCAACGCGAATCAAAGAGCGCCCAAGTTGTTGCTAGCAACAAAGTCGCAAGGAGCAAGGAGCAACTTTTCGACGGCCGCAATTGTTTTTTCTTCAACACTTTCTGAGCTGTTTGTTGATGTTTTTACTTGGCCTTGCAGCAGCTCAGGCTGCATGGCTGTAAGCGGCTTAAGCGGCTAAACAAACTGTGGCAAATAGCGCTCAGCTTTTAGCTAATTGTTTTCCATTTAATTTGGCATTTGCAGGAAGCGGAAACCGCCATCACTGCTATGAACGGTCAGTGGCTCGGCTCTCGTTCGATTCGCACAAATTGGGCCACCCGAAAACCGCCAGCCACCAAGGCAGACAGTAAGTGACCCCCTGCAACTCCGAACAACTTGCATCGAGACACATCATTTTGATATCTATCGTTTGCATTTTCAGTGAATATCAAACCTTTGACCTTTGATGAGGTTTATAACCAAAGCAGCCCTACTAACTGCACCGTATACTGTGGCGGCATCAATGGCGCCCTCTCTGGCTTTCTCAACGAGGAGATATTGCAGAAGACATTTTCGCCATATGGTACAATACAGGAGATACGCGTCTTCAAGGATAAGGGTTACGCATTTGTGCGGTAAGTAGTAAACACCCAGTGCGTATACGTAACGCAAATTCAGCTGTCTGTCGCTTCAAAAACATATCAACTAAAAGGGCTGCTCGGTCACAGGAACCACAATAAAAGTGACGCAAAACCAGGCAAGCAAAAGTATCGCAAGCAAAAAGCGGGTTCTGGATACCACATTAGCCCATTGTTTCCCGCCATTTTGATTTCGTTGACGGGGACTGGTATGCATTGTGGCCTGCGGCCCAGCTCCGCGCTCAAAACCGCTTCTATGTTGTTGTCGCTGCAATTGAGTGTACGCCATTTCAATGTGCCTCCGTTCAGCGACGGGTCCGCCGCACCGTTAATAAATCAACTACACTTTTGCACCAACGACAACTACAACAACAACAAAAACAGGCAAATTTTGAGGCAACAAAACAATGAAACGCAATAACAGCAGCAACGTCGCTGCCCATTGCAAAAAAAAAAAAGAAAAATACGAAAAAAAAAAACCAAATACCAAATCCCCGACCAAAGTAGGCAAAAGCGATGCCAATAGCATGAGAGAAACGTAAGCTGGGGAAATACAGCTGAGCTGTGGGCTGAGCAGAAAGCAGATCGCAGCTGCCGCCACGAATGGTGATAGGGTTTTAATGGCTGCCGTTGGCCCTCCTGGCGAGTGCTGAGGCTTAACAGCGCGCCATTACCCCAACAGCCAACCAGCAACAAAGGGGGCAACGCATTGCAGTTGCTGGCCAGGTCCGTGTGCGCCTTTTGTGCGCTATCCAAAACTCATTTCTGTGGTATGCACAGAGCAGAAGCAGCGCGAGAGCACTGAGAGCGAGTGTAAGAGGGCATGACAAGGGGCACAGGGAGGCGAAAGAGCCGCATTGGCATTGTTTGGCGTTTTGTAACATAATGAGCTTGGGGACTCCAAGTGGTCTCTGCCGTAGCCGCTGCCCTCGTAGTTGCTGCAGTTATACCCAAACCCTGCCACAACAACAACAACATCAACAACAATATCAACAACAACAACAACAACAACGACAGCAAGAAAAACTCTCAACTAGCAGCTACTACAAGTACAACAAGCACAAAAACAATTCCACAGACGCTTGTACCACTTTTACGCTTTGTTCTGGCTAACACAACTTGTTGTCGAGTTGTTGTTGTTGTTGTTTTTGCTGCTGCTGCTGCTGCTGCAGGTTAAATGGAAATTTAAGCAGGTCAATCTGCAGCCAACTCCCCCAGCAAATTAGTTTGCTCTAACCTTACACTCTGCTACACACACACGCTTATTTTCGCCTTTAGATTCTCGACAAAAGAAGCAGCCACACACGCCATCGTAGCTGTCAATAATACGGAAATCAACCAGCAGCCGGTGAAGTGCGCGTGGGGCAAGGAAAGCGGCGATCCGAATCACATGTCCGCCATTGCGGGCCAAGCGCTGGCGCAGGGTTTCCCCTTCGGCTCAGCAGCTGCCGCGGCCGCAGCAGCAGCCGCCTATGGGCAGCAAGTGACCGGTTACTGGTATCCACCGGCACCCACATATCCCACAGCGGCACCGGCCAGTGCCTTGCAGCCCGGCCAGTTTCTGCAGGGCATGCAAGGCTTCACCTACGGTCAATTTGCAGGCTATCAGCAGGCCAGCTACATGGGGTAAGCAGCGCTCATTGATTAAATACGAACAAGCGTTGGCTACACCATTCTTATTTCACTCAATAGCATGGGCGTACAGCTGCCAGGCACTTGGCAGAGTGTCCCGCCACAGCCGCAGCTAACCAGTGCAGCGGCCGCCGCAGCGCCACAGATTACTCAGAGCGTCGGCGGCGCCCTGCCTCAGGCAGCTGGCGTTGTGGCCTATCCCATGCAACAGTTCCAGGTCAGTCCACAGGTAAGTCTCGGGGCAGACTGTAGTGTGTACGTATGATACTTAGCTTGTAGCAATTGCAGCTGGCGGAGGATGAGTGGCTGGCACCTAGTTTGCTGGTGTAGCTGCCATGAGCGGTGGCCATGTATCCCACACAGCAGCAGCAACAGCAGCAGCAGGAGCAGCCACCGTGCGCCGATTACGTGAAGGAGCCGCGCTACCAACTACAACACCAACCGCAGCACCACCACGTTCAACAACTCCACCACCAGCAGCCGCAGATATACGAATTACAACAATTACAGCAGCAGCAGCAGCAGCAACAGCAGCTGCAACAACAGCAACAACAACAACAAGCAACGCACTTTGCCCCACAGTTGTATTATGCGCAGCCACACTGGATGCACCAGCAGTTGCCCAACAACGAGCAGCACCTGCAACTACAAGCCCAGCAACAACAACCACAACAACAACAACAACCACCAGTAACCCAAGTAAATGAAGTTTACGGCATCCCCGAATTGTACAAAGATTGAAATGCAAAAGTGACAAATTTTATTTCACACCCTCGGTTGATATTAGAGAAATGTAGCTTAATGAGTAGCGAGAAGAAAGTAGCGAGTAGCGAGTAACGAGAAGCAGGATACATTTGAGAGGAACAAGCAGATCGAAGATTATCACATCAGATATGAATTCAAGCAAACCACATAAAATATCTATATATAGAATATATATATAAAATAAACGCCCATTAACTCAATATCCAATTTGTTGAAGGCAAACGTAGTTTAAGTATAAAGAGCATAAGCAACAGCGATAGCAACACCAACAGCAACAGCAGTAAGGCCAAATATGCAATAGCTAATAACCATAATATGTACAACTTCTAATTGAATTCACAAAACAAAATGATTTAAATAAATGAAAATATACGTATGTGTGTTATTTGTGTCTATATTCTCGCAGTCAGAGAGCGCCGATTTGAAGCAATAAAAAACCTCCTTTAGTCGGGGGCCAATTCAGCAACTACACATATGGTACACATATAGCAGTAGGTATACCTACCAAAGTTAGAATAGAGCCGGTGCTAAAGGTCAAAGTTTTTTTTGTATGTTGCAGTGCACGAATCTCTCATAACCCTTTCGATTCCACTCGCAGAGTTTTTGAGGCATTGGTGTCCGTAGAAGCAAATTTAGAAATTTGTATTCGGGGTAAAAGATTATTAAAGCAAAGCTATCGCAACATTTTATTGACTGAAATTTCAAACTGATTCATTTGAATTGTTTTCATAATTTCAAATTATTTTTAATATATGGATATCGAACTGTTATCACTGAGCTAAGCAGACACCACCTTTTGCCCCTAGAAGCATGTCATGAGTAATTAGTTTTAACGAGAGCTCATTTAATAGATGTGCCTAATTTAACATGTACTTAAAATGTATCGGAAACTTAGTTTGAGCCACATTTGCTTCGATAGGTTTATCCCAAAGCTGTATTGAGTTTAAATATCGAGCAATGGAACCAAAATTATGAAGAAAATCAAATAAATAAAGTTGAGAAAAAACTAATATAAATATTTACAAAAAAAAAACATAATTACCTTCAAAATAGTTAAATGTAAACACAACTCAAAATAGTAGAAAATGTGCACATACAAAGGTAAAAAAAACATAGTGATAAAGCAACACAAACCAAAAGAAAACCTAAAAAAAAAAAAAAAACAATTTATTGATATAAAATGCATGTAGATGTACATGACTAGCTACAACTACTTAAGTAAGCAGCACTTGATATGAGGGCATAATTATAGAAACCTATTGATGTATCTGTGTAATGTAAATGTGAACAAAAAATTAAAATCTTTAAGTAAAGAGAAGCTGAATGAGGCAAAATAGTGAAATATTTAGAGAAAGCGAATGAGAATAAAAAAGTGAACAAATCCAAAACAGAAAAAGAATACATACAAATTTATGCAGTGTCCCTGACGTCGGCTGGAACATGCAGTAAAAGCAAATTACAAAGTTTAGTCAATGTTTAGTTAAGATTGTAATTGTAACTATAAAAACTATATGCTAAATGTTAACGAAACACAATTATTTATGGTATTTACAAAAATAACAAACTGAAAAGGCAAAAATTAAAAACAAAAACGAAAATGAAAATGAAAAACATCAAAATTGTAAACTATTTTTTACAAAAAAACGCAAAACGAAACAAAAACTCAAATTAGCCCACTATATTGGAGGATGTGGAGAGCCCTACAGGAAGTGCGTCTAATTTCTCTAAGTTGTGATTCAATGCGATGAGAGTAAACGATGCTATTGACAAAGTAAACTGATTTATTTTTTAAACTTGGCAAAACGTGTTTTTTGAGAGCCAATGGCAAAACTGTGCAGCAGTGTATGCATAACTTTACATATATATACAAATCTATATATACTTATATACATAAATACATATATACTAAATGTTATTTGAGCAAACAACAAAACTGTCTGCTAAGCAAAGCAACAAGCTATGCATCATTTAAAAGAAAACACATTAAATACACTATAAAACAAAACTATGATACCGATAAAAGGAAATATGAGGCAACACGGGAGGAAAAAAACAAACAAACAAATTGATTAGCAGCTAAACATATGTATGTTGAAAAATGTTGGAAAATAAGCAAAATTCTAAGCAAAAAAAATGAAAAAAGATGGCCAGGAGTGAAGCAAGAATCTTTATAAAACTATTACCTATAATATGAGATATGCCTATGTGTTAAGCATAAATAAAATTAATTATGTATACATAGTTACGGTTTAAGCAAAATGCATATACATATAAAAAAATGATTCAATGTTGTGTGTATGTACATATAAATATATATGTGTATATTATGAAAAAAAAAAAAAACAAAAATGCATATAATTAAAGAACGTCTATAAATGTATGTATGTGTGCTTGATAAAAGCAAATTAAACACATGAACACTCATCCAAACAGAAATAAATAAATATATAAATTTAAATGTAAAAAAAAACATGCCAGAGATTAAACAAAGCTGCATAAAACAACAGAAATATGTTGAAAATGACAACAGCCGCATGAACACACACAAACACAAGCACACGCACACGCACACGCACACGTAATTGCATTGAAATTAGCAGCAGTTATAATAGAAAAAGAGTAAAACACAAACAATTATGAACAGCGTGAAAGCAGAATGTCATAATTATGTTGGGAGCCTTTCAATCCAATCAAATCGAACGTAACACCCACAGGATAGATCCATATTTACAAACAAAAACACACACACACATACACACACTCATACACACCAATCCACGCAAGGTGTGCAGGCAAACAAGTTAATATATGCATAGCGAAATGCGGAAAAGCAGGAGAGAAATAATCAAATAAAATGGAAAATGTTAATCAAAAATAAAAATATAAATTGATTGCAGTTTTTATGTTAACATTAATGGGATACCAATTGCAGAGGGCAGCCAAAAAGCAGAGGTGAGTGATTATTAAAGTCTTTATTGTTCGTTGATTGAAGCGTATGAAAGCGCTGAAAAGTATGCAACACTTATGCAATGACACTCGAGGATTAATGGCAGTGAGGGAGGAAATAGTAAGAGTGAACCCCATGAAAATGTATTTAATTTCAATCAGTTATGTCACAATCTTTATTATGAAAAGAACACAAGTTGTATACCGAACAAGCAAGGCTGCTTACCACGGACTAAGCCCCTTAAAGACCATCAGATATGATATGGTATATATTTATATATACAAATACATTTCATAGTTACAACTGTGTATGTCTGTCTGCATTTCTATATGCACATGTCGCGTTTCCACTTGACTCGCTTCGCCGGCGAGCAGATGCATTGGCCAGAAGAACGCCAAACGCAACTGCCGCATTCTGGTCACGTAGAATCAAAATCTCACTGCACATACATGTATCCATGCATCTGTGTATGTGTGGTGTGTGCATGTGTGTGTTTGAGTGCACCTTTCAACTCGCTTGCAGCGTCATTCGCTGTCAGCAACAAAAACTTGACTGCCATTACGCATCATTGCTCAACGGAAAACTGTACAATTTCAATATTTTACTGCATTTTGCACTTTGGGGTCGCCGCTGTCGCTTTTGTCATGGAGATATTATACCATTGCGAATGCTAACAAACAAAAAGTAAAGTTTAAAACTAAAATTAAGCAAATAGACAGCTGCAAGCACAACGCGTATATAATCCATCAACATTAAATGCATATGCTACTCATACGCCCCATTGCCCATCCTACTAGATTGAAACGCATGTAGTGCATAAAGTTCCAAAATATAAAACAAAAGTTAATCTTAGTTTTGTAATCGGGTCCCATGATTCTAACAAAGAACTCAACCGCTTTAAGCCGAACATAATTGATTTATATGTCAAATTCATGAAGTATCCAGTTTGTAGAAAAAGGCAGCTTTTTTATTTTTACTGAAGGATAGTAGCAAAACAATTGAATTTTTAAAGGAGAGTTGAAAAAGTATGTAGAACACCCCTCATTTTTTTCGATTACAAATTTTTAAAATTTATTTTTTTGTTTTTAATATTAATTTACCTCCATCCCTTTCTCGCATTTTTATGATTTTCACCAGAAGACTCTCATTATTTATTTAGTTGATAGCCAGAGTTGTTTATTGAGGAAGTTTCAGCTTTACGCTGGCATCAGAGCATTTTTCAGTAGCTAATATTTTTTTATTATTCAGCATTCCAAAATACAAAGCCTCATGAAACTAAGCTTATAAAATTTAACTGTTTTGTTTTTACCTTTGCTTTTTTTGTGGCGTATTAAAAAGCTTGCCAAGAGGCCAACTACAAAAGTGCACCTAAGTTTCTTTATAAGTATATTAAATAAAATAAAATAACAAAAAAAATAGCGCAAACAATTCAAAGCATGCTGAACTTTGGAATACCTCTTTGTCGAGAGAAATATTTTTCTCTGACAAACTACAAAATAAAATTTATTTTCCAGTTAATAATAAATAAAAGCTACTAATATTATTTTCTGCACACAAAATTCAGAGCCATGTATAGATAGCCCAATCACAATAACATCCATTTCGAATTTGAATAGAGGGTATCGAAGTCATTCAGGGACTGCAGGCGCTGTGT